CCCCCCTCGTTTTGTTCATCGTGTTCTCCATCTATATCCCTCTCCCTCTCCCTCTCTTCCTTCATCCTTTCCCCCCTTCATCATACCATTTACTCCCTCTCGTCCCTTCTTCATGAGATGGTGAGGACCATGGGGCCAGCCAAGGTGATCTCATCGGTAAGGACGCCATTCAGGGGCGCCTCGCTGGTCAGCGACACGTACACCACGCCCGAGATGTGCTGCGGCACCTCGCACCCGCCGGTGGCCGCGTCGAAGGGGCTGAAGGTCGTACCGCCGGGCAGACCACCGGTGGTGAAGCCGCACGCGACAGCCTGGGGCGCGGCCTCGGACTGCAAGCGGACCACGGAGCCGATGGCGACGGCGGCAGGGTTAGCGGCGGGGTCGGCCATGGCCAAGGCGGGGAAGGGCTCGACGAGCAGGTTCGAGCCCTCGGGACACGACTCGAAGAAGGGCGCGGCGAGGGAGAAGACGGCGCGGGGGCCGAGCGGGGTGTCGAAGGGCTGGGGGATGGCGATCTGGCGGGTGGCGGCGCGGAGGAAGGTCTGGTGGCGGGCCTCGACGGTGAGGATGCTCCCCGCGGCGGTGAGGATGCCGGCGTCGGCGACGAGGGAGGCGGCGCCGAGGTAGGCGGAGACGCCGACGCTCTCGAGGACCAGGGCGGTGGCGACCATGCCGGCGGCGTCGGTGAAGCCGAAGTTGTAGTTGCACGGCTGCACGGGCTGGAAGCCGGCCTGGGCAATGGCCGACTGCAGGAAGCTCGCGTGGTCGAACTCGGTCTCGCCCACCTTGCGCAGGTCGGCGATCTCCTGCGGCGAGAGGCCCAGGGCGGCGAAGTCCTCGGGCGGGAAGCGGGCGAAGCCTTGTTGGTAGAAGACGCCTTCTAGCCACTCGAGGGTGAGAGCACTAAGATGTGTTAGGGGTTTTGTTTTTTAAACTGTATCCAGTGCTCGTTTCAGATGAGACTCACAATTGCAGAATGTCAATATCAGTCAGACCAGATTGCCGGGCACGGTCATTTTGCCTCTTTGCCAGCTTGTAGAGATTCATCTGGTCTTGGTCCAGCTTGGGACCGGAAGGCAGGGCGTAGGCGACAGCGGCCAGTGAGGCCATCAGGGCGGTTTTGAGTGAGAAAGTCATGACGATGATGCTCAGGACCGTCACGAAGCTGTGTAATTCGGTTTGTTACTGAAAGATGTGCTTTGCTGGAGGAAAAAAAAAAAAAAACGGGAGAGAATTGAGTTCCCGGTCTGGCTTCGTGAGGTCGATTCTGAGAAAGGGCAAGACGACCAGCGCTGATATTGGTTTTTATCGGCAGAGGCAACGAATCTGGGCGAGATCTTCGGCTGGTATAAGGAGAGACTATCGAAATGAAGAGGAATAAGGGAATGGCTTGAGAGCAAGAGAGTGTAAGGTGAAGGAGAGAATGATTCCCAGAGTAGAAATAAAATAAAATAAAATACTAAGCAGACCAGCGCTTGAGAAGTTGAAAAAAAAAGGGATGGGATGGCGCACAGCACAGGACAGTAACAAACGAGGGAAAGACCGGGATGAGGAGGAAGAAGAACCAAAATCGAACCGCGAGATGGGGGAGAATGGCCATGATATTTAATGATAACGCGTAGACGGGTGAGGCGGACACGGATTCAGATACTAAGGTACTTTGTAACGTCTCTCTCTCCCTACCTTATTACTCTACCAAAGTAAGGTACATGACATAAACGGACACCCTCTGTTCCGGGTTCCGACTCCGGACGCCATCTCCGGGTAGAAAACTTCAGACAAAGGAGGCGATATGTAGCTGCATTTGGTTTTCAGGGTAACATTGTAAGCCGTTAGAATGGATCTTAAGGTGTCCGTGACCTTGAGCTAAGATCTGGTTGTTGTTTGATATTGCGATGGCCAATCATGATCCAGTGGAGGGACTTGGCAGAGGCTGGGAAAGAACCCCTTGATCTGGTTTAAGTTGTGTTGAAATGTGAACGGGAATTGAGAATCTCTAAGGTGTTTGAAGGACTATGTACAACCTCCAGCGAAGGTACTTCGTACGAGCTACCTTACTCTTCGTTAAGCCATGTTGAACAAAAGGGGGTACTGAGTAGATCTTCCCGGATCTGAATAAGTACTTGAACTAGGACACAAAGTTCCCGGAAGTCTACGAAAAACACTTTTGATTATAAAAAAGACAAGAAAAAAGTTGAGATGAAATGTTCCTGGACAAGAC